TTTGATGTGCAAATAACTTTTATATGTTCATATATATATATATATTAGGTTGATTAATTAAAATTAAGTATCATAGATGTTTATTGTAGGAATGATTCTCTTATTCTAATTTTTTTTAACAATTTTAGAATTTGAACTTTAATATTATTTATGGATTCTAACATTTTAACTGTTAAATTAACTACAATAACTAATTTAAATTAATTGATTAATAGATTAAATATTGATTATTAAAAGAATATATGTTCATATAGGCTAGTTTGAGAATGTGTTATATGATATAGATTACACGTTTCATACAATGATAGATTCAGAAATATTTTTCAAGACTAACACATATGTATTGGTAATAGATATTTTTTATGCAATAGATGGCAATAAAATCTTAGGATGGATACCATTAATAAAATAAATAACAAACATAAAAAGAAAAATTAAATTTCAAAACATGCACGTACTCACCTACACATGCATCCGCCACTAATTCCATACATAGAACATATTATTTTAAGCATGGGTGTACTCTCGTGGGGGCAGGAGTCGCTTTGGCCCAACTAATTTTTTAAGTATTAATTGATATTAATATATATATATATTATATATATATATATTTGAAAAATAAATAAAGAAATTTGTTTACATATAATTTTTTTTATTAAGTTAAAAATAATTATAAAATAATTACCATTACTGGTAATTAAATCCGTGACCTTAAAAAATAACAATAATTTCTTTATCTACTTAGTTAAATTAGTTCGTGCTAACATATAAACTTTAAATTATATACATAACGTATAAACTTGTTTCCAGCTTAAACAACTTTTGACTTTTAACCAGGGTGAAACAGAAAAGAAAAAAAAAAGAAAAATAATTATAAGGTGGCGTTTGGTTCGTTCGAATGTTTATGAGGAAATTAGAATCTGTGAAGAATTGTAATTTATAGGAATTGGAATCAAATTTCATATTATGTTTGGTTCGCAGACATGTCAGATGAATTTGATTTTAGTAATGTAAAATGACAGAATTACCCTTCTTATTTTTTTTGCTTTATTTTAGTTTATTTTACAACTTACATGTAGTAATATATTATAAAAAATAAAAAATATTAAAATTTTATTTTATTGATTAATTATTCGTTTCAATAAATTATAAAAATCATTCTAATAAACATTATAAGTTAAAATCATCTCAATCAAAATATGTTAATAAGTTACCAAAAGATAGAGCAATATTTTGATATATTCAAATCGGAGTATGTTAATTAGTTACCAAAAAATATACCAAAAACTATTTTTATTCAATATATGAATTAGAAACTCGACCCGACACGACTCAAAATAATAAAAAAATATTTTTATTCAATAAAAACATTGACTTAATTGAAGAAAAAAAATATATAGAGGGGTATTATTGTAATTATTCCTAAATATATAAAGTAAAATTATATATATTTTTCGGGTCGGTCCAGTTTTTTTCACCCTAAACCCGAACCCGACCCGACCTGACCCAAATATCACACTTAAAAAAACCCGACCCGACTCAACCCAAATATCACACTTAAAAAACTCGACCCGAACAAAATAAAGTTTCATCCGACCCGAATATATGAATTAGAAATCCGACCCGAAATAATAAAAAATATTTTTATTTAATAAAAACAGTGACTTAATCCGACCCGACCCGAATTATATATATTTTTGGGTCGGTCCGGTTTTTTTCACCGTAAACCCGAACCCGACTCGATCCGAACCGAATATCACATTTAAAAAAACCCGACCGACTCGACCCGAATATCACACTTAAAAAAACCTTACCCGACCCGAACAAAATAAAGTTTCATCCGACCCGACCGAATATATGAATTAGAAATCCGACCCGACCCGACCCGAAATAATAAAAAAATATTTTTATTTAATAAAAACAGTGACTTAATTCGACCCAAATTATATATATTTTCGGGTCGGTCTGATTTTTTTCACCCTAAACCCGAACCCGACCCGAATATCACACTTAAAAAAACTCGATCCGACCCGACCAAAATAAAGTTTCATCCGACCCGACCCTACCCGAATATATGAATTAGAAACCGACCCGACCCGAAATAAAAAAAAAAATTTATTCAATATATGAATAATTTACTAAATGATTGATGATGGTAGTATGGTCAAATTTCAATTCCCTCCAACAAGAGAATTGAATTCTATCCATTTTTTGGATGGAATTCACTTTCCTTCATTTGATGGAATTGAATTCCATCAGATATTCTAATTCACTTGAAAAACTTGAACCAAACATGGGAAAGTGGTGAAATTGGATTCTAATTTTCACCAATTTCAAGGGATTTCATCCGACCAAACGCCACCTAAGAGTCATGTGAATTGTTTTATATTGATGTAGAATTTTTTTTTACTAAACATCTATTGTCTTCTTAATTTTTTTCCTCATTTCATTATTTTTTCCAATATTTTTAAAAGTTTAATTTCATGTTATGCTTTTATTGAAATTATCGTTTCTCAGCTACTTCACACATCGACAAACTCATATTATCATCTTTTTTTTTATTAATTTAAGTTATCTTAAAATCTCTTTAAAACTCAAAAAATTCAACACAAAAATCATAGTAAAATGATTTTGATCTACAAATCTCATGTTTCATTTAATATGGAATCGAGATATATTCTTTATCTTCACCTTCTCTTTTTCCATGTATTCAGATTAGAAAGAATAGATTCAGACTTTGAGAATAAAGGTTTTAAGGACATTTTCACAAAATATAGAAAAAATTGAGGTATGTCAAATTTTAAAAGAATCTTTTGTTGTAATATCGTAAAATAATTTATTAAAAATGATTAAAAGATGAATAATTTTAAAATTAAATAATAAGATTTAAAAATTTAAAAATAAGTGATTATAATAAAAAATAATTAAAATTGAGTGATGAAAGATGTGATTTACCTAATTTTAAAGACTCGAATTTGAGCTCAATCTTTTTTTTTTTTGAGTAATCTAAGGAAAGTAGAAGGTAATATATGTTGAAAGATAATTTTTAACTATATGACATTGAAAGCTCGTATCTTTGGTATTATCGATGCTCGAACCTAAAACCTCAAAAATAATAATAATTTTTTATCACTGAGATCACCTTGGATTAACGTTATTCAAAGGTTAAAAGAAATTCTTACATTTAATTTTTTTTAATTGAGTTCAAATTAATATTTTTGATATAAAAAGTAGTGAAATTTAAGCTTACACAGATGAATTCTAAAAGATTCAACCCAACTCCAATCATTTACAAGCATAAATTATGTTATTTACACGTTAATTAGTACTGAAATCTGCGTTTAATTTATTGGGAAACGAACACGCAAAATTATGCAGTTCGTCCCAAATAACCAAAAAAGAAAAAGAAAAAACAAGAATTCCGTCGTTTTCATTATGCCGAGGGATCTGCCTTCCCTAGGCCATGTCTCTCTCCACCTACAGTCCCTAAATCTCTCTTAAATTAAGCGATTTGACATAATTAATACCCTATAAATTTATAATTCCCTATATAATATTGTTTGATCAATATTTTTTTAACTAACACCTTTTCAGCTAAGTTGGCATAAAGATGCATTTCCGGAATGCAGATTTATTTATGTGGAAATAAGACGCGTTTTTAGGGATGCATTTTTCAATCACGTGTAAAAATCAGGTGTTAATATTATAAATATTTTTAAAATTATGCCTAATATGTAATTAAATTATATTAGGGTGATATTTATGTAAAAACGTCAACTTTATTTATTTATTTTTTTGTTGTGAAAAAAAAAACTTTTTATGTTAAAATCTTTAAATATTCTATTGAAAATTATTTTATAACTCGATAAATTTAAATTTTTACTTGAAATAATATAATACGTGTAATCTATTATAGGAAAACTTTAATGGTAAGTAATTTAAAATATAAATAATTTTATAAAAGTTTTATAACTATTACTTTTTTTACAAAACGATGACAATGAGAAATATTTTATAATTTAAAAAAAATTATAAATTTTATATATTTTAAAAAAATTTATTGACTTTTAAAATTAATTGTTTAAAAATATAAAAAATATTAAAATAAATTTTTAATAATAATTGAGGGATCAAATGAATTATTATTCATTAATTATTAATATTTATTTAATATTTTTTAAAATTAATATTAAAAAGAATATTTTAAATAAAGAAGTGATATTTTAATAATTAATGAATAATAATTCACCTGATCCCTCAATTGTAATTAAAAGTTTATTTTTATATTTTTATATTTTTAAACAATTAATTTTAAAAATCAATAAATTTTTTAAAAATATATAAAATTTATAATTTTTAAATTATAAAATATTTATCGTCATTATTATCATTTTGTAAAAAGAATACTAATTATAAAACTTTTATAAAAATATTCATATTTTAAATTACTTAACCTCAAAATTTTCATATACTAGATTATATGTATTGTGTAATTTTATGCAAAAATCAAAATTTGTCGAGTTATAAAATAATTTGCAATAGAATATTTAAAGATTTTAACGTAAAAAAAATCACAACAAAAAATAAATAAATAAAATTGACGTTTTTACATAAATATTATCCTAATAGAATTTAACTACATATTAAATATCATTTTAAAAATATTTATAATATTAACATTTGATTTTTACATGTAATTGTAAAGCACAATGTGCCTTATGTACTTTGTGCCACCTCAATTAAAAAGATGTTAGTTAGGGAAATATTGTTAAAAAGATGTTATATCATGCATATTAAGTGGTGTTAATTAGCCTCTCTGTTTCGTATAACTTTGTTAATTGATTACACCAGCAACAGAAAAAACCCCATCCCTTTTCCCTTTGATCTCTTGTTTTGAATAACTTCACTCGCAATCTTCAAAGCAATTTCATTTCCCCTTTCTTCCACAAATTCGTTTTTTTTCTGTTCTTAAAGCTTCTCGAATCTGAGAACGGTATAAGAATTTTGGTTTGTTTGTATTTTTATATGCACTGTGGGACTTGAACGTGTGTTTATTTACTTTGCCCGATTTATCAACAGCTACATCGAGAAGCTGGTCAAGTTCGTTGACGAACGAGCCGGGGCTTTGATCGAAGGTACGAAGGTGCTGAAGCTCAACCAGGCTGGGCTCCACTACGTGCAATCGCGGCTCGAGGCGTTGCAGGAGCTCGAGAGACTTCTAGCTGGAACTCCAGTTGACTATCTACGTGCATACGTGTCGGACCTCGGGGATCACCGGGCGCTCGAGCTATTTCTCCGGATTCTGCGGCTCCTGACGACTCTTAAAGTGGTGTCTGCCTTGTCTCCGCCTGCGCGTGACCCAACGCCTCTATCTTTGCTGCCGTTTGTGAGACTGAAGGTTCTTGAACTCAGAGGCTGCGATTTGTCTACTTCAGCATCCAAAGGATTGCTTGAGTTGAGGCATACTTTAGAGAAGATTATTTGTCATAATTCAACTGTGAGTCTCTTTGGATGTTTTGCATTTATTCTAAACTCAGATGAATTAATTACCCTCTTTTAGTAATATTACCAATGGACTCTGCAGAAAAAATCTTCTCCTTAATTTTTATTTGATTAATAGTAGGTGAATCAGTGTTGGAACTTTACAACAATTCCTGAATTATGTTTATCCTTTTAAATTATGTAGGATGCTTTGCGTCATGTGTTTGCCAGTAGAATTGTTGAGATAAAGGGCTCTCCACAGTGGAACCGTTTGTCCTTTGTTTCGTGTGCATGCAATGGCTTGTTGCTAATGGATGAGTCTTTGCAACTTCTTCCTGCTGTTGAAACTCTTGATTTAAGTCGAAACAAGTTTGCAAAGGTGGATAATCTTCTGAAATGTGCCAAGTTGAAGCACTTGGATCTTGGATTCAATCATTTGCGATCCATCTCATCATTTAGTGAGGTAAGTCACTAGGATTATTACTATCAAATTATGATTTTTGGTTTTTATTTGCTGCTGAAAAATTAATAAACGGAGATATATATTTGTCATGGTATTTTCAATTGCCTCTACTGTCTAGTCTTTTTTCACATAGTACAAAAGATGGTGTTATTCAGGGAGTTGCTAATGATAGTATGAAAACAATGTGACCCTAAATGTCAAGTAGTTAACTTTTTCATTTGTTCAGAAAATGATGTTTGCTGCAATGAGATTGTTAAGTTGGATACGTGTGTATGTGAGAAAACATATTAGATCGAAAAAGGTGAGGGTAGTTGTATCACCAATTAAAGTAATGGACTTATCTAAGATGTTTTTTTACATATGAGACAATGGAATAACGGAGATTCTGTTAAGATTAATTTCCCACGTCTAAAGGAAGAGAGAATAAATAAGATGTGGGAGGAAAATTTAAAAAGAGATCTGGTTCTATATAGAAGAGAATGGTCTAATTTGATCCTTGTAGCTGACTTGACAGTTTTGGATTTTTAAATGTTTGTTTACTCGTTTTCTTGTCTACTCCTCCTCCTTGAGAACTTTGGTTGTCCTCTCTTTATTCTTTTCCGTTAACACTTTCTTTCTTTCTCTCTCTTTTTCTTTTTCTTTTTTACTTTTCGCAAGAACAAGTCCTGCATAAAAGAAAGGGGGCTTTTCATTTAGCTAAGGTTCTGTTTAAACATTTACTGGTTTGACATTTATTTAGTTGTTTTGGGCTAACTATTTTTCATTGTTGATGAAAATTGCAGGTCTCCTGTCATGTTGTTAAACTTGTTTTGAGGAACAATGCTCTAACTACATTGCGTGGAATTGAGAATCTGAAGTCTCTTGAAGGGCTTGATGTTTCCTACAATATTATTTCCAACTTTTTAGAGTTAGAGTTCCTTGAGGGGATCCCATCTCTTCGAAGTTTGTCGCTTGAAGGGAATCTGCTATGTTGTGCCCGATGGTACCGTGCACATGTATTCCGCTACTTCAGTCGTCCTGAAAATGTAAGTCTGATAAGTATCTATTTGCAAATGGAGTTTTGGTTATTGAACTTCTATGCTCCTTTGCTAAAACATTTCGTAATTTTAGTTTCTATCTTGTAATCCTGCTAATGGTACAGCTTTCTTTTGTTCTATTATATGGTTTGGTTAGTTGAAATTAGATGACAAAGAAATCAGCACAAAAGAGTACTGGAAGAGGATGATCATTGTTGCCAGCAGACAGAAGCGACCTTCCAGCTTTGGGTTCTACTATCCTGCAAAATATGATGCTGAAGGAGAGGGGTTATCAACAAAAAGAGGGTGCGTAAAGTTTTACCAATTCTCAGTTTTGTATGTGATTTTAACTTTACAGTCATGCATCTTCCCTCTCTCCTTGTGGTGAAATTTTGGCACCCTGGTTAGTCTTTTGGATGCATTTGATGAATTTTGGTTGTTCATGTACTTCATAATATATTATACCCTTGTAGCAGTGCTAATTGGTGATTATCATTTTAACTTCTTGCAGATAAAGGCGTCTCGACAAGAAAGAACACACATTTATTCTGATCTAGATTTTGTGTCATGCGATAATGAAATGCGAAGCAGAGAGGAGAACATCATATCTGAGGATGAAGCTGAAATAGTTGATTTGATGAAAAGAGTAGAACAATTGAAGAAAGAACGTTCTATTCTTTGGTTACGGGAATTCAAGGACTGGATGGATCATCCTTCTGAGAATTTTGCCGATGGTGGGTTTAGTACATCTATGTTACATCATGGGAAAGACAATTATAAGAAAGGTGGGGAAAGTGTGAGGCATCTTAGTGAAAGTTCTAGATATGTTTCAGACTCGGATCAAGCTTCAGGAGATGAAAGTAGCATGAATGTTTTGGAATCTGATAATTCTTTTGCAGATGTGAATGCCAACAGATATTTTGATCATATTTTTCCTCAGGAATTACTGGTGGATTGTCTCTACCAGGCTTGAGGACAATGGATGTGAAACAGGAGCATCAGAAATCTTACTTGCATGATGAGACTTGTAATGGATCCATTTTAGCTGAGAGTTCTCATAGTAATATTTTTTCCCTTGAGGAAACTAATAGAATGGTTGAAAATGCCAGTGTATCACATTTTAATACAATTGATAATATAACAGAGTCTAATTCTTCATCTGCTAACCCTGGATCACCGCCTCATTATAAGGACCTTTTGCATCGTCGCCAGAATTTGGTGGAAGAAATTCTGCAGTTATCAGCAGAGTCTTATTCAGCGGCATCATCTGACAGTGATACAAGCTGCAGTGAAGATGATTACAGTGAAGCTGGGATACCTGCAGAGGAATATCTCAATAGGAGCACCAAAGGGTATTCTCTGGCAAATTTTTTGAGCGTGCTTATTATGAAAATGGAAATAACACTTCACATGGGAGCGAAAATGGCATCTGCATCATGGATTCACACGCTGAACAAGCCCCTAGGACCAACAAATCTGTAAATATGAAACAATCCCTGCAACTGTCCAGTGAGTTGGATACATGTTCTAATGATCTAGAGACATCTTTTGTGAACCAAGAGGTCGATTGGTTTGAAAAGAGAAAGAGAGGAAGTAAACCAAAAAGAAGAGTGATTTCACTGTTGGAAGAGAACAGCTGTTAACAGGTACCACAAGAATCAAACGGTGGCCCAGGGGTTAGTGGGTCTTATGTTAAAGAAATGAAAGGAAAAATCTCTTCAAACGAGAGTGATCTTCAGAATGATTTTGATAGAAACCAGATTAAAAATGCAATTCCAATGCTGACACTTGATGATGGTGTGAGATATTCTCATGCCGAGTTCTCTTCTCAGGGGAAGAATGATTTTATTGAGGACTAATTAAATAAAAATGTTGCGGATTTGAGAGTTCATGAAACTTGTAGATTATATATGTGTTGCAGTTGTATGGTTGGCCAACCTTTTTACAAAGAAAGGTAAGCACTGCAAAAAATTTAGGGAAAAAATGTCCTAATATTTGTTTTGATGAAGTCTTTTCAGTCTCCTGCTAGTGAATCCAAAATCACATTACTGGTAAACATTGACGCTACTTTCGCAATGAGTTTCAATTCACAATAGAATCTAATGTTACTATCTTAATCAGAAATTTTTCATGTGAAGTTGTACCAAATAATTACTGTTTATATTCTTTATGCGTTTGTATTTACCCTTAACATATTTAAATTAATTTATTTCTCTGGGAGAAAATATCTCTTTTTCATATTAATCTTCATGATTTTCTAATGTGTTTTAGGCTAGATGATCACGTTGGGCATTTCTGAAAATCCTTGATCTTGTTTGCTTGATATGGTTTTGTAGTGTTTCATTCTGTGTTTGTAATGATTTGTCATAAACCTGCTCTAACCAGGCTTTTGTTATAAATTGCGGACTTGGTATTTTAAATAATTTCATTTTTCTTGCTTTCCTTACATCTGCAGAGAAGTAGCTCTGGTATTAAGCAGTGAGGAAAAGATGTATGTACTACTTGTTGGCATCACATTTGATGGATCAGGTTGGATAATGAAGTAGCTTTTGCATAAGGCATGAATTTGTTGATAGTCTTTTCAGTGCTGATTTGTTGACAAAATTTCTTGAGTTGGTTATCAAGTTTCGTTAAGGCTTGCACTTTACTGTCTCTGCAGAGAGTACCTTGGATTTATTAGGTTCTCATAGGGTTGAAGATATAAGAGCAGTTTTAGTTGGTCTGAGCCTTCAGGTTGTGAGGTTAGTGATTTGTAACTTCTATTATATTTTAGATACTAATCATTCCTCTTAACTGTTTCTATCTTCTATTGTTGGTTAGGGTGAATGTTGACAGGAGTGTAACGTACTTGTTCATAACAAGGAGCTTCAAGAAATCAATTCAACTACTTTACACGTTGAAACTTTCTGATTTATCTGCACCGATTAATAAATGTTCTTTAAGGAGGTGATTTCAATACCCTTTTATTTAACCACGAAACTTGATGCTTAACATACCATATGTAATTGTCTCTATTTATGTGATATAGACTTATCTGAACATCATAAAATGAATTTCATAATATGAAGCATAAAAACTTGTCAGCGGAGTATCCAAGTGTCGAACACATTGTTCGACACAAACATTGCTCCGATGCGGCAAAATACACTGGAGACGCAATGGTAAGTCGGGAAAAATATCAGACATGGTCAAGACAGAAATGTCTGATCATACTTGGAAGCATGATAATTTTGTGAATACAATAAAGAATAGGAGTAGAAATCAAAGTATTAACCTAAATGTATGGATTGAAAAGCTGGGAAAGAAGTATGAGGTGGTACTAAATGATACAGGTATTAGAGTACGATAATTTAGGACCTTTTGGCCATTTTTTGTTATTTAGTCCTAATGATATTTTAAGGTTCAAGTGGTGTTTTTATTGTAGATTATCTTGTAAAAGTATTTTTTTATTGTTGTCTTGCTGTATTCGTGTCCTAATTTTTCAAAATTTCCCGTGTTACCACTTACCATGTGCGTTCTGTGTTCTACTCGTATTACACATCGTTGTTGCTACTTCCTAGATTTAATATGGTATTGGTTTATTTATCTGTGTTTTCTTTTTCTTCCCTATGTCTCAGTGAATGTGGTTAAAGTTGCATGCACTGACGTCAAATGTAAATTTCTATGTCAAAAAACCACTCTAGATCAACAACTTACATCAAATGGGATGAGGAATTTAATAATAATTAGTTTTGACGTCAATAACTGCCATACAAAGTACATTTCTTTTTCATGATAGGTTGAGGTTTGGAAATTTAAATGGCAGTTTGGAGCAGGTGTGGAGGTTTAAAATTGAGCATTTCCCAATACTCGATGGTGCTTTTTCAGAAAGGCAATGAAGGTATGTTCACTGAATTTTATCTCGTCATGATTTGTTATATTTAATATGTTTGTCATCTATTAGCATGTTTCCTATAATTTTGTGTGCAATGGGGAGGGTGGATACTGTTCCAAGCAAAGTAATGAAAATTGAAAGGCAGAGAAACAAGTGGTGGTGTATTTTAGAGTCAGTTTTGATATGTTCTTGTTCTTTGAAAAGTTTTCCTTTCAGTCCTGATAAATTTTGGTTGTTCTTAATATGCAACTTTAGATGAACATAATTGATTTTTGTAATGGCGCAACTTCTACGTTGTATAAAACTTATTTGCTATTTGTGCTTCTCGGATTGTTTAAAGGGTGCAGAAACAGGTGGTATTTGCCGATGATATTGTTTGTTGCAGAGACTGTTTTTAGCATCTTTTTTTTTTGTCTAGAATCCTTGACTAGTTTGTAGGACATGTCATAATTTTCCTTTTCAGAGGTCTAAAAACTAAAATCGTTCTAGCTTGTCCAGAATATCTTTCAGTTATGCTTCATGAATATCATTAATTTTCTTGCTTGCATGGTATCGTGGTTGTGGATGCTGATGCTTTTGTTCTTGTGCATACATGGATTCAGAGAAAAAGGTGGTCGTATGATATTATATTTAGCAGTTCATATTCTCACTGTAGATTCTATGAAAGCATCTGATTGTTAACAATTCATTCTTGCATTCTTGCACTCCTGCTCGCATGTTAATGCTGAAGCATAGACACATAAACCTTAGACTTGATAATGCTTAATCTTCATGTGAAAACAGAGGAATCATGGCTTTCATGATCACTGTTTGTAATTGGAGGACAAGTGATCGTGTGTGTTGAAGACATTATTGAGTTAAGTTCGATCCTAAATGATGCATGTTCACCTCCATATTTCTCCCTGGATTCATGCTGCAACATTGCAGATATATCTGAGATGGTAACTTTTATGGTGCTTTTGTTTTGCATTCTGCAACTAATATGTTATGTTGTTGGTGAAATCGGTTGCTGTAACAGTCAGAATAGCAGTATATGGCCATATTTTTTAGTTTCTACTTGTTATCCTTGATTTACTTGCTATCAATGTCAAGTTCAAGAAAGATAATTACTGATCTGATTTCCACTCTAGGTTATCGATAACAGAGGGAGACATTGTGTGACATTATCTCTTGAGTGCAGCACATCAAAGGCCTGTTCCTCAACGAAAATGCAAAAGAAGGAAAATAATGTAGCAAGGTTTCGGACGTGGAAACTGAGGTGGTTCTCGGAAAAGAGTCTATCCCAGTTTGTGGCATTGGTGAAGACAATCCATCTAGGGACTACTTCATCTCCTTTGCATGTAAGATTTGAATCATGAGAGGTTTCAGTTTTCGGGTTTGCATGTTTCCATAGTATAGTCATTTCATCCTTTTGATTGGGTGCTTTCTTGTGGTATCCTTTTCCCTTTTTTCAAAATTATTGGATTTTGTTTGGTTATGGTGTGCCGAGTACATAACTTTGTGTCAGTATTCTTTGATTTGTATTCTTTTAGAAGTTAAATTTTAACATGTACAGATCGTACAGTATATAGAATAGCAAAGCAAGTAAGATGTATGGATGTCCAGTCTTTAGTGATCATAAAACTTCTGCAGCTTTTGATCAGAGTAGTCAGATGTATGCATGTCATCCAGATTTTCATGTGTTTAGTGTTAGACTTGATTATCTGTGCATTCATATCATTTTTGTATTATTTTCATGTAACATAATCAATTAAGGTATTTTATTTTTTTATATTAAATTTTACTTGTTAGAAGTCAATGTTACGTAGATTTTGACAGGTGTATCATATCCATATATATTTTCACTTTGTGACGTATTTTGAGTAATTTTTTAAGGGATAATGTCACATATGATACTTGTAGTTTGATAATATGTTTAATGTGATATTTGTATTTTTAAAATATTTAATATGGTAATTGAATTTTAGATGAGATTATAATGTGGTATTTGTATTTTGACTAAATGTTTCATGTTGGGACAATTCATACTTTTAAAATGTCTAATTTAGTACCTTTTTTTGTATAAATGTTTAATGTGGTATTTAGTGGCAAATCCATTGGCGGCTTAGAGTGGGCACGTGCCCTTTCTGAAATATAATTTTATTTGATTAATTATCTATTTTAATTATGATGTCCATTTTGAAATTCAAAATTTCTTCGGTTAATTAAATATTTTACTGACGATGTTTACCTTGAAATTTTATTTGTGTCTATCCCGTTTAAAATGTTGTGTTATTAACATATATGTGACTATCTTCAAAAATATTTTTGGATCTGTCATTGTGGTAGTATTTGAGTTATTATTTCACATAATTATGGTACTTGGAATTAACACCATTAGTTAATGTAAAATTAATAAATGAAGATTGGATAAATTGTTTTGGATATTATTATATTTTAACTTGATATGAATGTACTATTAAAGTTTAATGATCATATTGCTCTATAACTTATTGAGTGGGATTTTAAAGTCTTGAATTCGAGTTATTTTGTGTGTAAAATATATATGCATTGTTAATAGTTAATTTTTTAAAAAAATAAATATTACCATATAATCATCTAGATTATTAAAAAAATATATCCTATTACTCTGTTGAATTATCTACCGACTACATCCTTCATTAAACTTTAAGGTAATGGAAAGATTTGACATACAAAACAATTGCTATTTCGTTTAAACAATTCTGATTAAATGTTGTTTGTTAAAAATAGTATACAAATCTTATAAACTAACTACCATATTTATATACAGAAGAGTTTGCAAGCTAGCAAATACCATATAAAGATTTGACACAACAATTGCTGTCTAAATATTCTCAATTTCTTGTCAGCTTGTGTACCTAAAAATGGAGGATTTATTAATGGTAAATGATTAAGCAATATAATGAACAAGGTTAGGCGAAGAGCCGCAGAGATTCCTATCCAAGACCATGTCCAATCATAGGGTTTGGTGGTGTCGTTTTGTGATGCCTACTTACATTACTCCATCCCTCGCCATGTGCTCACTCATTCAACAATTTGCTATTTTTCCACATTCAACAAAATTACAATCCATATTCTAAACAAACTTGTGAGGGTAAAATGCTAGCTTAAACTTGACATAAAGCATATTTAAAAATATAGTTTAAGTTTTAGATATGTTTGATTATCTGATTAATATATAGTTTGAATTTAATATGTTTAGAAAATTAAGTATATAAAATTTTGTTACGAAATTGAAAAGAAAACGAAGAGTAATAAATAAAATTGTATAGCAAGAACAATAAATTTAATCCACATGTTTCAAATATGTTCAACGTCTCATTCGAATCAAAGGCTATGCTGACAAGAAAACCTAATTTGATAAGTTATTGATACTTTGATGACTTAATTGAAATCAATGTTACAAAGCGATAAATTGATTATAATATTTTAATGATTATTTTGTAATAGTTTGATAAGTTTAATGATTATTTTATAATTATTAAAACTTTAATGGCTAAAAAGATTCTTTTATCATAGTTAAGTGACCTCTTTTATAGCTTTCCACAAAAGAAAAAAAGAAGGCAAAAAGGCCAAAGAGACAAAGGGGCAGTAAAGTATGTTGATGACACTTGTCCCATCAGGTCTCTCAACTCATGAAAATTTGCTTGCATCTTGTTGTCCGATAGTGATATATGTGAGGGAGCTCTAAAAGCAAAAGCAAACATAAATAAATAAATAAATACATATATCCTCCCTTTGATCGCTCAACCACCATCTTTGCATGCTCATATATCATCAATCCCACCATCCCCATTCATTAACTCATGCCAAGCAACGAAGGGAGTCTCTGTTTGATAATGGGGAATGCAGTTTCTTGTGCGCCGTTGATTACTTCAAGTGGCGGAGCAGTAAAAGTGGTGTTCCCAGATGGGAGTTTGCAGATATACACGAAACCAGCGAAAGCAGCCGATGTAATGGTGGAGAATCCAGGCCAATTCGTGTGCGATTCGAGCAGTTTAAAAGTCGGTTCCAGGGTTCATGGATTAACGGCAGATGATGAATTAGAGCGACGCCAGGTTTATTTTCTTCTTCCCATGGACCTGCTTTACTCCGTGTTGACTCAAGAGGAGATGAGTTGGCTCAGTTGCAACGCTAACAAGGCGTTGAAACATGCCAGCTTTAACATCGGGAGGATCTTTCCCGTCGTCTTTACCCATTTTTGTATTTTCCCTTTCGACGCGAAGACGCCGCCGCCGAAGAACTCGGTCGGAAACGGTGCGAAGGATTCCGTCGAGAGGTTCTCGAAGCAGAGATCGTGGAAGCCAGCGTTGGATACCATTCTTGAAACACCCTCCTCGTAGGCAATGTCGACCAACCAATTTTTATATTATTATTATATCTTTGCCTTTGTATATTGTTTTCCTTTTTACATTGTTTGAAATCTTCTCCTAATCATATTAAAAAATCTAATAAATTTAAATTAATGACAGACTGTATGATAGGTCGGCCTCCCTGTTTGCATGATATAATGAGTATTGTTTACATAAATTAATAACAGCTTTCACGGTTTCACCTACTCAAACTTGGCACCTAACTTGTGTGAAATTGTAGTTTAGTAGTATGGTGAATTTCCACTCTGATCCCTGCCTTCGTGTATATCTACAAATTTATTACGAAGATAATGACGAGCAAACAAATAAGATCTTAAAATAAGAATACGGTATACATTTTAAGAAAACACGTAGAAAATTAAATCAAATTATGATCATCCACGCTTGTACATATTTTGTTGATCTTGAAACTGGGAATCAGGGCCACGTTCATTTGTTTCACACAATCAGACACATTTTTTTTAAGACATGATGTAATATCTTAGTATTTGAGATGGACAGTGATCCTCAGCAATGTCTCGACACCATCAGTGACATGTTGACCAGGTGGTATAAGTGGTCGAACCTCGGCAATCCCACAAGCATTCTTAAACTTCCCTGTTCCACTCGTCACAGATACATGCGATACCGTGCTTCCAACTTTGTACACCCCGTAGAAGTTGAGGTTGTCGTTGTATTCCCCGCCTTCGATCATGGCCGTAAACGCCATCATTTGGGTTGTTCCGTCAGCAGAGCTAGCCACATAAACTCCCTGAGCTTTCCCTATCACCTGTGACCCCAAATCAGGGCTAGCAGTGATTATGTCATCGATAACAGTGATCGTCCCGAAGCCTAGTCCCAACCCGTCCGGTCCAAGAGGGACTTGAGGCTGATTGTTTTGGGACGGGTTGCCGGCGAAAGCCGTGCCAGCTAATCCGGTCCCCAACGGGAGACCACTGATGCCATTGATAGTTGGAATAGCACCATTTGCATTGGGTATTGCAACACCACCGGCAGGGGGCAGGAATCCAATTGGCTTAGCAAATGGTACCTGGCCACTATAGATGTTTCCAAGTAAGCCAGTTATTGGCCTTGCTGTGGGACTACTTCCCCCTAGGATATCATGCATGTAGAACTCTAAAATTGGTTCTTCTGCCGCCGCCGCCGAGTTTCCGGCTGCCAAGCATTGGCCCATGTAGACTGTTGCAATTAGCAATGGAATAGTGAAAAATGGAGAGTGCTGCACCAACATTTTTGTAGTTTTTGGTTCTGTGATTAGGGTTTTTGATCAGTATGCCAGACATCATGAAACTTGCTCTTTAAATAGAAAGTATAACATCAGCCTATATATTGGAGTTGTTGAAAGATTATTGGATGGTGAAGTTGTTGGGGTCAACAGTACTTACGTGCACATTTATCTTCTTCGTGCATTAGTTAATATTTTCAATAAGGAGAGGAGAAAATAATATATTTTATTCATTTAATAATATAAACTTAAAATAAAATATTACATGTTAACTATATATATACATCAAAATCTAATCAACAATATATAAATAAAAAATATTTTCATAATTATCTCAAATTAAGTTCAAATTTAAGGGGGGGGGGGAATGACTAAATTTAAATTTTATCGTTAAAACCCGTAGGATATGGATATTTTTGGCATCCCTAGTTTGAGATGTTCCATTTTGGTATAATTTTTCTTGCAGTGAAGCTTTCATGCTATGGGGAGCACTTCGATGATTATGTATTATTTAGTAGGACAATGTTTGAGTCGAAGGAAATGCTTTGGTGTTCCACTAGAGATTGGTTGTCAGTATAGCTAGCATGAAAGCTTCAATGCATGGATTTGGTGGGAATTCAAATGGTGTGGAGTAGTTGGGTGTCGTTAAACCAGTGGAGTGGAGAAGAAAACAGTCACAAACACTGTGTGATAACAATTACTTGCATCAACTGTAAAATTAAAATGCAGTCATGGATTTTGGAATGGAATGGGTTTTCGGATTTATTTGTGAAATGGACCAAGTGATGGATCAGTTTATAAATTATACATTGAGAGAGTAATAAAAAAATGTACGGTGAGCAGAGGAGTCAAAAGGTGTAGGCTTCATCCAACGCCACCGCTACATATCCCCGTGAGCGACACCGGGAATCTACAAAGAGCCCCCGCCGTCGGTGCCTTTTCATCTTCATCATCATCATCACCGGCCGGGGGAATAGCTGCCGAAACAGGAGGCAACACCCTCCCATCGGCAAACAATGACCGTCCATTCCTTGCCTCGTGATGCTGCTCGTCATGCGCTGTCCCCATCACTCCCTCAAGCTCCGCCGCCTCCGCACCGTAAAATGCCCCGTCTCCGAACCTTCTCTCCACCTCTAGAAACTCTCCGAGAGAAGCCGCTTGGAATCCACGTCCCTGCATATCTGCCACCACTTCCTCCGCCTCCTCACTAAACGCTCCGCGCCGAACGCAGCCGTCAGCGCTCTCCTCTTCTTGGGTTTAGATAAGGAAGCCGAACCAGCGTTCGCGGGTTGTGTCTCGAGGTGGTGTCGGGAAGGAGCTCGGAAAGTAACAGCTGGGAAACTCACTCCCATTAAAGTACCCAATGTGGTGCTTCTATCATGGAAAAACGAACCTGTCGACTTCATTCACACACACACACACACAAAGAACAAGGAAAATGCCAAACTGAACATCAAAAGAAAACATGGGGAATTCTTTTATATAATGCATGGTGCAACAAGATTCAACCAGTACAATTATTTAAAAGAAAACTGAAAATGGGTAATGAAAACTTACCTCAGTATCGAGATCGGAGGAGGAGACAGATGAGATGGTGGGGGAGGACGGAGGCAGTGGCAGATCAGAGATCGGATCTAGCATTTTTGTTGTTGAAGATGGGATTTGGATTTTTTAAGAGAAAAGACATTGGTTATGGATCGGCTAAATTGGAGCTAGAACAAGAAGATAGGGCTGAAATGGTGGTGTGATACCGACACATAAAGTGTTGTTTTTTTTTCTCTTTAGCTTTTGAATTTGTGAATTACATCATTATTGTCCACCTATCTTTTGCTTTTCTTTTTTTGTTCCACTTTATTTTAAATTCTCTGAATGGTTTCTATTGTGACCTATCCCTATCAATTTGTCTGAATAGATTGATATCAAACTTTGAATCTATTAAGGCTGTTCATCAAGTCTGGCAGCAATGGGTTATTATCTTCTTCCTAATTGTATTATTGGGAGTTATTATCTTCTTTCAAAAAGATATGTCGGATAGGATATACAGCGTCACCGTTTAATGATTAATTAATATATGTAATCAGCTTATATAACAGGTAATTGCTTCTCTAGATGTTAAGAGTAGCTTTCCCTGGTATTTTTGCTAGTGAGCGATATCAAGCAATATAAATTATCCAATCAATTATAATTGGGTGTGTATATATCCTCTGATTGAGATATAATGAACAGAAATCAGAACATAAAAGGATTTCAACTCCTGAGAACATTATATTCCTTCCCGTGTTGTTATGAATCAGGTAAAAATTGCACAGAAATATATCTAAGATCCAATCAATTTATAATTAAAATACAAGTTTAGAAAACCATACATACAAGTTTCAAACTCAATATAAAAATCAAATATGACCTACATGCCCCCTAATTACACATTATACCGTACTCTGCAAACACAACCGAAGTAACTCCCCAAACTGAAGTTGATATATGCACTGGATCGATTCTTTTAGCCTGAAATGGTGAGTAAAGAATGAGTTTTGGGAAGCTCAGTAATACAAAACTACCACAACAACAACAATAGGCCATCATGATTAGTAAAGCATAAATTTCCTTAGCGGGACAGTCATCATCAGATTCTAACAGTAAATTCAGATTCCAATAGCTAAGTCTTCAGCTACAAACAAGAATTTATGATCTGAAGTAAGTATTCAGAGAGAGACATATTCAGAAGATTGAATTGGGGAGTCTAGTGTGTTCCAACAAAACAAAGAAATGTGTACATAACCTTTAAAAATATTAGTAGTTTAAAATATATTTTAAAACCACAGTAATACCCTCTAACCGAACACCGATATACAGTTCCCCATAACTGCATTCAGAAAGGACTTACCCTAGGCCCATTAGGTGTAGGTGTCAACCTAAGGGAGCACCTTGGGTCCATAAGGTCTTACCCTAGCCGAAGCATAGGTTCCCACCTGAGGGGTATGCCCTCAGGCTCATAAGAACTTACCCAATGCATACAGCAAATAAGCCACCCTAAGGGAGTACCTTAGAGTCCATAAAGTCTTACCTCTAGGCCCATTGGGCCCAGGAGCCCACCCAATGGTCGCCTTAGGTCCATAAGAAATTACCAATTGATCGGTGTTGAACATATATAAGGAATTATCAGCTTGATCATAAATGAACCTGCAATAAGGAATTACCAACTGATCGGTGTTAAACCTATATAAGAAATTACCAGCTTGATCAAAACTGAACCTGTAGAGACTTCATACCAGATCCCAGAGTACCCCGAAGAAAACATTTTTCAGACAGTAACCAGTGGTAGAAAGAAATCAGAGTTCATATATATTTATTTATCAGTAAAACAGTAACCATAGAACACATATCATATAGTCATAGTTCATAAACAGTACATCAATACTTCAGTAAATATGTAATTTTGAAAAAACACATTCTAAAACAGGTAAAACAATTATATGGCACATAAGGAACACACTAGAGGATACAGTTATTTTCCGGAGGTACTTAGCAATTATCAAGCGGGGGAAACACGAAACTTCTGCAAATTGATTGAATTTCATAATGATATCCTTATAGAAAGGAAGTTTAATAGCAAGCGGATTCATCAGTCAATAGGGAAGTGATTTATCAAGATCATATCGTATTCATATATTTTTCGGAGGCACTAAGTGATCAGAAAGGCATTCAGAATCTTTTACATCCGAGTTATTGAAGATCTAGATATAACATGAGTGTTTCTATTATTCAGGCAAATAGGAGTATTTCTGACATTTTAATTTCTGATGGATTATTAGTAACTTAATCCAATAAGGGTAAAACGATAGTTTGCATTATTCCGAATTTATACCGAATTATCTTGATTTCGAGTCAAACCGTACTAATTGATCTCCACCCTGTAAAACTTGTCAATATTTCGAACTGATATACTTCATGAATAATCACTTCTTAATATTTATTACACTGGTTGAACTGGTCACTTTCAGAATCACCACTGAACGGAACTAGAGGAGACGATCATGTATTCTATGGTATTATACATTTTTGTGATGTATTAGTATCAAGAATACTCATCACACTCGAGTTATGCTCTATAACCTTCAAGAACGATACAACTTAAGTTTGTTTCTAGAATTTATCCAAAGACATTCACTTATTCCAAGTTGTTAGAATATTTGGGTCGCTACAACACTCGAGGTTAGTTCGGTCATCTTAGAGTTTAAGGTATTCTAATCCTTTTGGGGTTTAGGGGTATTTCAATCATTTGAATATCGGCTGTTATTTTAGTTATTTCACAACTCGAAGGCATTTCAGTAATTCTTTTCAATCCAAACATATGCACTTTTACCGGTAATTGGTCAAGTATGTCATTTCTAGATTATTTTTCACCTTCAAGGGCAATCTTGGTCTTTTTACAGTGCAAAGACATTTTTATAATTTTACTTCATAGAGCTATTTTTGTAATCTCTTAATCAAGTATTCACCGCATTTAACCTTTAAAGAAATTAATCAGAATTTTGGATCCTGAGGTCAATTTATTTACTACATAATCCATGAACTTAGAATTATTTCCGATCGATTTACCAATTTTTTTTCGAGTTGTCTGAGTTTTCTACAGTGTTCTGCCTTTATTCCATATTCAGTTTGAGTCAAATGATAATTAAATACACCTAATTGACCAATAATTTTCATTCATGCATTTACCAATTATCAATGAGTTTTAAAAAGCATACAAAAAATAGTAGTAGAGTATTACCTCAATTTTTGAGCATCCTCGATTAACCAATTAAACTACATTTGATCACCCTCGAACTTAAATTCTACGTCCCATAATATCTCGGATACATAGACAAACCAATTACATTAGAAACAGAACTTAAACGTAATAAATCGTATTGAATTGGGAGATAAAATACCGAAAAATAGCTTACAAAGTTCGAATTTGGCAAAACATACTTTGGATTCGGACTCAGGACGTCGAAAAACATAACATATTACTTTTAAAAAAATTTAACTTTTTGGTCAAAGTTAACAGTCAAATTCAAAGCCAACGGTCAGGTCAAACTAAACGAGCTGATTCGCCCGAGTTGACTCAGCTTGACCGGTTCGGGTTGACTCGGTTCTGTCCGAGTTGATCAGACATATTCAAATCGGTTCGGGAGCAGGCTTCTTGGAGCGAGGACAAGCCCCACGCGCACGTAGCGATGCGTGAGACGACGAAAACGATTGGGGTGATCGGTAGATTATTCTACGGTCTTCAAAACACCATAACATTGCACTTCAACGCATTAATAGCCAAAACTCACTGAAAAAATAACCGAATAAAATAATTGAAAGCTTACCCACGGCGGACGGCGAGAACGACGACAGTGGACGACGAACCTGAAAAAATTTTGAGAAGAATTTCTTGGGGAACACAACGGTGGCTGTCATGAGGCTAACCGATAGCTGGAGCGATCAAAAAATGAGGGAAACTAAACAGAGAGTTTGGGTTATCGACGAATCATTCAAAAGCTCCTCAATGGCGGACGACGGGGTATTACAATGGGTTACCGACTGGGCTTGCTTCACGACGGCCCAATGCTTCAAATGGTACCGGCGGTGCACCACGACGTCGACCGTGGCAAGTGAATTGTGGTGGCCAGAGTTTGGGGGTTAAGGTAAATATTTTGAGGTTTTTGGGGTTCTATCAAAAACACACTGGGGGGATTTTGTTTTGGGTATATAACCTGAGCCAAAATATAATAAAACATATATTTTATTAATTACATCACATATAGGAACCTAGCCCCCTCAACCACCTTATTCCCATTTTTTAAATTTTCTTCTGACAAAAAAATTAGGTAAATTCAAGACGTTTTTACGCAAAAATCACCCTGACAATAATTAATTATCTGTCAGACACTGTTTCAGAAACTTTTACCGATCTAGCAACCTTTGCAGAAAGGCACGGATCATCATCTGCGTCTTTTCCTGTTGTGGCGCCACATAAGGGATGATCTGTGTCTTTCTGGGAATCTGACACGCGCCTGAAAGGCACAGATCACCATCTGTGCCTTTCAATTAATTTTCAACCATTCACACCTCTCCCATTTATTACTCCATCCGGCCAAACTCATCCCCCCATCCTTATAAATACTCATTTATTTCTTCATTCAAACACACCAAATTCTCAAATCATCTCAAACCATCTCAAAGGCCAAACCCTCTTAAAGCTCAAACTCGGTCAAATTTTATTTAAAAGGTAAAATATTTTAGTGTATTATAATAAATGAATAGTTTAGTATTTTATTAAATTGTATTATATTTACTTTTTATTATTTTTTGTAGTTATAAAATAGAAGGCGGTATGCTTCGTTTAGACGAACATCACATCTCCAGGCATTTTGCTGATATAGTAATAATTTAAATTTTATTTTAATTTTAATTATTGTTAATATTTTATTTATTTAATATTTTAGTATTAGTTAAATATTAATTTCTATAATATTTATTAATAAAGAGACCGAATCTTAGATCCCTTTATCCATAATTTTAAGTTAGAGATATCAACCCGTGTCTGGTCGTATTTAGTCGAGGCTGGATTCGGTTACGTAGCCAGATACGAAGGGCATTATAATGTAGAATCGAACCTGATTTCTGCATTGGTCGAGAGGTGGAGACCAGAGACACATATTTCATCTTCTGTACGAAGAGTGCACAATTACGCTGGAGGATGTTTCTATGCACTTGGGGC